CAGAAGTTCTTACCCATGTGCTCCCTTGGCTGGAGTTATGCTTCAACTTCAACGGCACCTCCTCGCACACAGTCCTGAATACCTTCTCACATGAGGTATCAGCTCAGGCCTATGATGCAAGTTCTTTGAAAATGGTCAAGCTGGCCACATGTGTTACAATTTAATTGTACAATTTCTCCTTTAGATTGACATGTGAGGACTTGCCTGAGATTATACTGAGAGGTATAATGAAACAAATACAAAAAAACCCAAAAAAACTTGAGTCTTCAGTCAACAGTATAGAAAAGCAGCAATAATATTTTAGCCATTCGAGTCTCTACTATCTCCAGTTATGAAGTTTGTTTTTATTCCTCCTGTAGTCTAGTGTTTAGTAACTCTCTATTTTTCTTATGAATAAATTTGATTCTCTTTACATGGAAGTCTGTAAGAGACTTGTTATGACATTGAAGAGGAGAAAATGGTTTGGAGACACAGACAAGGCAGAGGAATATTGAAGCCAGATGGCCGGGGAACCAAGCTCGGACACATTAGCCAGAGGCAGGGAGAGAGCCGGTGTCATGATGAGTAATAAAGCAGATGTTTAACTTCTGCAATGAAAGGTAAAATACACTGAAGACAAAGGCAGGAGGATTTTTAAATTGCCTAACCGGAAGAATTTCAGGAGTCCACATTATAAAATGAAGATCAAGAGGCACTTAATATTCATACAGTATGGTATTCTTACAGGCAATTGCCTGTCAGCTGTTGGGACTAGATAAACCAAAAGTGTATAGAAGTGCAAATAAATACCTGTCGATCATGTCAGGAATTCAGAGCTGCACTGTGTACACTACCCTTGGTATCATAAAGAGGGCAATTAGCCCTCTCAGTTTTTAACTTAGACTACAAAACCATTTGTCCCTTTGTTGTAGAGATGAGGACAGAAGGAGTGATTTATTAGGCTAGCAAAATATAAGTGGGCAGAGCTGACACCATTCAGTCGCCAAATTCACTGTTTGTTTTGAGCCAACAGCAGAAAATTAGAAACAGAGTGCATTTCTGGCACATCAATGGGTTATTTTCTGCACTTAAAGGGTCTTTGAAGGGATAAAATATGGTGAAATGTGCATGTGTTGCTGAAATGTACTAGGTATTTTATTATCCCTTTTTTTTCCTGACATACACTTTACCTATATTTGGATGTTTCTAAAGCTACAGCTGACACCTCTCCTTCAAACTCAAAAGGGTGCCCCTATTTAATAGCAAATATGATGTTACAGGTTCTCTTTATCGAGACATGAGGGGTCTGTCAGACCCCTAATGTCATCTAGGGACCCCAAAGAAGCTGATGAAGCACAGATCTGCTTCACCAACTTCTTCTCCTGGCTGCTGGAGCTGGAGAATGTAAACAGTGATACCGGAAGTGATGTAATACACATCACTTCCGGGTCCAGTGACCGGAGCATAGAAGCTTGCTGATCTCCCTCCGATGCGGAGGTAGCCCCACTGCAAAGTTGAACTAAAGTTTTGCCAGGAGTTCTGCTTTAAAATACATGAACTCTTTCACATGTCCAAGTATTCATAATCCTGTTCAGCTAGTCACATTACCCCTGCCAAACAGCACAGCCTTTTCTTTGACTTCTGTAAAGGCTATACTGCAGATAACCGATGCTGGCTGGCCCAGGACTCACCCCGGCCTGTGACTGAACAATGAAGGAGCACAGCACACTAATGTAAGCCAATCTGTGCAAGGCAATAGAGCTTTGATTGGCCCAGAGTGGTGAGTAGACACGTGCGCCGGAAAAACATTTGTTTTGTTTTCGGATTTTTCTTTTTTTCGGGATTCGGATCCAAAAGTCAATTCATTAGGTTAATTTCCGTTACTTATGGATGCGTTGGATAATTATGAATACATTTTCGTCGCAGCAAAGTGACATAACAAAAAAAACTAAAATTACATTGTTCTTTTTAACTTTGACAGTCCACAGAACCATTTTTAAAAAAAGCATGGGGTCCCCCCCCCCCCCATTCATATTTTCCTTTCTGTTAATTTTTATTTTAATGTTTAACAACACAACTTCATTCCGAATGGCATCCGGAAATGTCATTATCGTAAAAATTTGGGTATGTCCGGGTTCAATTTAAAACTAAACGAATAGCACATGTCTAGTGCTGAGACCCCCCCCGAATGTTCTTGTACAGAGCATTACAGAAGACTGATATGATAGGTTCAGGTACTTTCGCTAGTTATGTATAAGATCCATTGATTATTATTTTAAGGAAATACTACTGGATGAAAGTATATCTTTATATATGTCTGGAGTGTAGCTTTACAGCAAGTAGCACAAGTGTGTGTGCTGAGGCTGCTCTCCATCTTTGTGTAGGAAGGACTGTTTCTGATAGCTCAGCTCACCATGGACAGATAAATGGAAAGCGTGGGACAGAATGAAAATGTTCACTGCCAATTTTCTAAACCAATATTTACATTCAGTAGACGACGAGGTTACAACCTGCATATCCCCAGTCATGCCGGAGAAGCACCTGAACTGCTGACTCAGAGGAGTGCTTGCCTGGTTATTTGAACACAGAAAAAAATAAAATTCAATAAAAAAATCTTATTTTTTCAGCAACTCTATGCATTTCATTTTAGCCATAGAGGAATCATGCTTGTAGAAAGTGCTGCCTCTTATAGGTCATTTAAAATGCTTTCAATGTGTTCACATGCAAAAGCCATTTAATGGGGGGAAAAAAACACATTATTCAAAGACACATTATTTATTAATGTAAAATATGAAAGCGATAATTACATATGATGGTGTTATTTTTCTAACTTTTGTCATGTAAATGTTTTTCTTGGTAAATGCATATTAAAATTAAGTTATTTACAGAATATTTTAAAGTAGATGCAGAAATAAAGTGTACCTGTAGTCCTGGCATCACAGTGTAAAGTAGCATCACAATGTTACGATGGACAGATTTCTGCATGCCCAACATAGGCCATGATCTTGGGTAGTAAGGCTGTCAGGGGCAGCACACAACCATTATCCTCATCATGCTTCTGACTCTCTACCCTGCTCCCTGAGCTCTGGTCATTTTTGTTGGTGCCCATGCACAATTTGTGCATTTTCCTGGTGGCATAGTATAATAGCGGCCTACTCTGGATCTGTACCCCTAGAAATGACCAACTCTGAACATGTACTCTTAGAAATGACCAACTCCGGACCTGTAGCCTTTGGTATTGTGTGGCAATCCAACTATAGAATTGGGTGCTGTGATCACCAAGGACTGTTAGCCAGATGAGCTGAGAAGTGTCAGGAAGCAAGGGTTTTGGATTATGCTTGGGGTCCTGGAACAGGGAGGTTTCAAAGTGATTCAGGAGGGAAGAAAGCTCCAATCCTGGGTTTAGGGTTTCACAATGACCAGCACCCACTGACTTCACAGGTGTGCACAGCACTTAAGGAAAGGATGCTGGCTAGGGGAATTAGCTCCTGCTGGGAAATAGGAACAGACGGGGGTTCAGGAGTCAGGAGGACTTCCCCATAAGTAAAAAAGGAGTCAGGTGAGCTCCTGCTCGGAAATAGGAATGGACGGTGTTCAGGAGTTAGGAGGACTCCCCAGAAGTCAAAGTGGAGTCAGGTGGTATGTGTGCTGGACACACACGAAGACAGCCAGGGAGGCTGGTGAGAACTGGTGAGGCTAGGAGAGCCATGATCCTGAGGGGCCACCAGTAGAATTGTGGGACAGCACTTCCAAGTGGACCAGTGGGTCAGAAGTGGTAATGCTTAAAGTGGAAGCCAGGATGCTAAACTTGTGTTGTTTTGCAAGTATTGCATGGATGCTGTACAGAACAACCCCTGCCCCAACGTGGATGTGTGAACTTTCAGTTAAATAAAAGTGGGCTACCCGGCCCTTAAACAGAAGGTATTATGAGTGGACTGCATCCTTAAGCACTCACCATATGTGCTAATATCCCCAAACATCACAACCTCTAGAAATGACCAACTCTGAACCTTTACTCTTAGAAATGACCAACTCTGGACCTGTACCCCTAGAAATGACCAACTTCGGACATGTGTCCCCAGAAATGACCAACTTTGGACCTGTACCCCTAGAAATGACCAACTATGGACCTGTACCCCTAGAAATGACCAACTATGGACCTGTACCCCTAGAAATGACCAACTTTGGACCTGTGTCCCTAGAAATAACTAACTTTGAACCTGTACCCATAGAACTGATTCACTCCTAGAATTTACCCAGTCTCTATCTGTACACCTAAAACTCACCCACTCTAAATATGTTTACCTAGAACAGATGCACTCTGGATGTCTACACCTAGAACTGACCATCTCTATATATGTACCCATAGAAGTGACCAACTGAACACTTAGAACTGAACTGTTAGCAAAATAGGATAAAAGGTTGCCTACTCGTCTAGTTTCTCATCCCGAGAGTACTGAGGCTCAGTGAGGAAGCTGCCTATTTCAGCCACCATGCCCTTAGCCACACAAGGCATGAGAAAACTATGATGTTTGAGTTTTTTCTAATTTATTACTGAGAGTATCCAGTCCGCTGGGGCAGTGTGAGTGGCAAAAGACAGTAACTTTATGTGTGGAGGAATTATTAATCTAGTCCTAAGTGTTTGAAAAGACACTTCAAATTGCCTATACATCATCTCTTGTCAGAAGACCCTAAATCCAGGACACTCTAATATGCAAATATTTTGGTTTATCAATGTTATCCAACGGAGATAGAAGGCAGTAGGAACAAAATGTTGTCCTTTTAGCTAAATTCACAATTTGCTTGCCAGAGTGCCATATTTACTCATAGAGGGGTTAAGGGGTCCCGACGCATTCTAGAAGATAAGAGATCATCTGCATTAACATTGCAATGGCAATTTTCATCTGCTAAGTTAAAGGTTGACTGATGCTGACTTTTTTAGCCGGATCCCTTTAGGGGATCATCCATAAGAAGGATGGTGCAAAATAGAAAATTACTTTATATTATTCTTTTTTTTTCAGGCAAAGGCTGCCCTCCAAAAACGTGTACTACTATCGTTGCCCAGATCATCGCAAAAATTACGTCATGTCTTTTGCATTTTGCTTTGACCGTGAAGATGATGTATACCAGTTTGCTTACTGTTACCCCTATACCTACACCCGCTTGCAGCACTACTTAGAGAACCTCGATAAGCAAAGGTTGAACTATGTCCACCGGGAACTGCTTGGGCTTAGTGTGGTAAGTAATCATCTCTATTTATACACCCTTCATAGGTGCTACTATGTACATAATTATCGATGGCAATAGCTTGGCAAACCAGGAATTTGTTGGAAAATTGATGGATACTAGGAGTATGTTTTTCCATGGATCTAATCTGTAATGCTGGAAAATGTTAATAATAAGAGTAATAATAGAATATTAGGAATATTCTGCTATCCCAGGCCACCTCTATTTTGGGGCAATAAATGAACTAACTAATAATCTCAATAGGCTTACTCACACTGTCTTATGCAACCCATGTGTCAGGGAACTGCCCTCAGAGACTTATTTGTGGTCTTTCTGACAAACTACCGTCCCCCTTTTATATGCAGTGGTCAGTGGCTGGTTACCTTTACTAACTTGGAAACCTAAACAGTGCTTTAATAAACTTTGCTTTGTTTCTATTAGGGATGCACCGATACCACTTTTTTGGGTCTGAGTACGAGTACCGATACTTTTTTTAAGTACTCGCCGATACCAATTACCGATACTTTTTCTTAAAGGGGCAGATCACATTTTTTCCAAAGCAATACAAAATAATGATTTTAGGTCAGTTTCCTAATATTATGAAGAACTGTAACTCAAAAGACAACATGACTGTCAAAAAATAAGTTTACTTTGCTTAAATTGTCACAAAGTTGTACTCAACGAAAGTTAGTAAAATCTCAACGTGCCATTTGAAAAAAGGCCACAAGATGGCGTATGGATAGGATGGAAGCAGATGGAATTGTGTAGAAAAGTGAAAAAACCTTAATTTAGCTTAAGACCTCATTCACACAACTAACAGCCGGCCCATGTTATATTAATACAGCATGGTCAAAGATAAATTAATCTTTATTTTATATAATATTGATTAAGCAATTGGAAAAAACAATTATTTTATATTTATTCATGCTGTATTCACGCAGCTATGATTCCCAGGCTGGAATCCTTTTTTTTGCACCTGCAAGTTGCAATATCACAGGCAAAACCTCCTGCTTTTGTTCCAATTATAACTACACCAAGCTTTCCCAAAAGTAAAAAAAATCATCTTAAATTTACATTTAGGCCTCATTCACATAACTAATTTAAAATCATTTTGTAATGCTGTAATTGTACCATACAATCACAGTATTGAACAGAAGCACACTGCCATCTACAGGCTGTAGTGGCCTCTGCAAGTAGAAACCATTTTTTTTTGGCGAATAAAGCCTTCAGCGTACATAGTGGCCAGATGATCTGGAAATAACCTGGCTGATTCCCGATCGTTAATAGGGACTGAATCTGGCAGTGACACAATTACAGATGGTAAAATGGCAATAAAATAAGTCAGAGGTTTTAACACTTTTCCACTCTGTTGAAAGCTAAATAAAAAGCTTTTTAGCTGGAGTTGGGCCATCAGAATATAAGAGCTGTATCTCAGGATTGAGCATAATAGTGAGAGTACAGCTGGAGCAAATGGGGTAGTGAATTATGAGATATAGCAGAGAAAAGAAACACAGTGGGTAGCTGCCAGTGCCAATACAATGTACTACATAAGCATTGTGTGTTCCTGATGGAGACTTCATGGCCAGGTATCACCAATGGAACAGTGTGTACATGTATGTGAAGCAATATTGTTGAGTATCAAGAGGGTCTTATGCAATGTACCGCACATGTTCAGTGCTAATAGCAATGAGGCTATGTAAAATGCTCTAACATATAATAACCAATTCTATTTCTAATCAGTTAAGCCAAAACATAATATTTAATACATAGTAACATAGTGAGGTTGAAGAAAGACCACGTTCCATCCAGTTCAACCTATGTGTGTGAGTGTGTATGTGTATATATAATGGTTGCTGTGGGCTACTGTACTTTGCACAGACTCATTTATCTATGAATTGTTTTTGGAATAATCTTGACTATCCCTTACTGACCCTTAGTGTGACCTTTGCCCTACACAACATGGAAATCAGGCACTATTCTTGCTTTATTTCAGTTTTGCAGCAGACAATAAATGTTTGATGCCATGTAAAGGGATGATACCGATAATGAGCAGTGCCGATAACACAGCACATCACTCGGATTTCTAAATTTCCTTACAATAGCACGGCAGAATCTTTGTGCATTTTGCTACCAGACTAAAAGTATTTAAAATGATAAAAGATAATTATATTGCACTTCTGTCTGCATGTGCGCCACTGATTGTGTGGTGACAAGCTCTGTCAAAATGGTAACGGCTCAGACAAAGCAGTCAGAACACGTGTTATTGTATAAAGAAGAATGAGGGGAACTTGATATTCACCTCCCCGTCGCTGTCACAGATGCCGGCAATTTGTTGAGAAACTTGATGTGCGCTGCTGTCACCAGTCAGAAGAGGGCTAAATGGGGGTTGTTATCTGCTAGGAGGCAAATTCCAATAGCTGTATTTAGGACGGGATCCATATAAAAGGTTACATTTTACCCATGTGTCTTAAGATATACTTAAAGCCAAAATTGTATTGATGGCTTTGGATAAAAGTAGGGAAGGGTTGTAATCCATTTAGTATATTTTTGCAGTCTTTGTCCTAGTGGGGAGATTTCCTTTCACTTCCTGTCCAAAAGACACAACAGAAAGTTAGAGAAAATGTATTCATAGTGAGGGGAAATATCCTCTTAGATACCTGCCACCAATCCAGTGTCTGTACTCTCTATTCCTGTTCTGGTGACAACTCAAAATGTTGTATTTCCATCAGCGTGGCTGGGCCAAGCTTCAGTATCTTGCTAGTCTGCCCCACTGGCATTGTTCAGGTATTTTGAGAGCCAGTGGGCCGACTAGCAAGATACTAAAGCTTGGCCCAGTGGGAGATTCCTCCATCCACACAGTTTAGCGTAGATGGAGGAATCTGTTGCACTTTTATCATCTGACCATAGAAAGTCTGCAAATAATCTATAGGTGTGTGGCCAGCTTAAAGCATGGTGTTTTACAGTATATGCAATTTCCATGTTTTATTTTTCTCATAAAATACTTTTTTTTAAATGTGTTTTTTACCATTTTTTTGGCACTGCTGATCTCATTCATGCTCTCAGCCACTTCCTGTCTGCATGCACTTGCTTCAGCATCAGCTGCCTATTGTTGCTCTTCTTCTTGCCCCTGACAACGGCGGAGAATTTCTGCACAATATGTGCAATATGTATACGACTGCTCGTAGTCTCAAGTATGGGGTGTATGGGACAGGGTGAGAATGCAGCACAGCAATTAGGAGAGTTAGGAGTTGTCACCCAATAACAAGAAGTGTCTGAACAAGACTCTTCATGGCAGGAAGCCCAGACATTTCATTAATGAACTCTAAACATGTAAATTGATTAAAAACAGCTTTTAAAAGGCATTAACATGTTCAAACTTATGAGAATTGGTGATTTACAGATTTAGTATTCTACTCTGAAAACTGAAATTTGACATCTTGAAGGCCCACCCTTGCTCTGCCCATGTGATCCACAAGGCCACACCCATTTCTATAAACCCCACCTTTTTGGCTATCTAAGACTGTAGACAGTGAAAATAGGAAAGGAAGGGAGTAGTTTGCTTTTATCACAATGTGCATGAACACATTTGTTCTGTGTAAACTTCAAATGTAATTATATACATCTTTAAAATCAAATCTTTGATTATCAGTGAACTATTTCATCTCTTGAAAAGGTTTCATTAAACCGTAGCGGTTTCTCACTTGATGTATGTGTTTCCCAGGGGAAATCAGCTCGCGGTGCAAAGCATTTCATTTGGGCTCTCCGACTTAACTTTCTGCCGCACATTAACAGAGAACTAGTATAACCCTACGGGCGAAATGTGCATGGCACTCTATTTAATCTGCATGAATGGCACGCCATTATTATGACCTTAGGCTCTCACACAATCACTCCGGCAAGTGTAATCTGAGGACCAGACTGAGCTGATTTTGCAGATTCTCATGCAGGTCACGATTTCTTTAACCAAATATGCTGTTAGGTTACTAGAATTTGGCATTGTCTTTATCTAAAAGAGATCACCCAGCCCAAAAATGACAAAAGTAATTCTATGCAGCTAATAGCCGCTGCCTACATGGCTTTTTATTTTATTATTCGTGAAGCCAGTCCCTAGTTTTGCCAGTGCTCTTCATTCTAAACAGCTTCCTCATTCTGAAGTGTGACACTTCATTTTTTGAGTTTGCATTGATTTCTGTATGTAATCCCTGGTATGACACATACCTGAACACTGTTATTCGTGTTAACATCTCTAATGTCACTAGTGCCTGACATATTAAACTTTTGGGCGTTCACACCTGGGCGTAGCGTGACGTGCGTGCTTCGACGAGCATTCACAACACGTGCACAAATGCAGAATATGCGTGCGTTGCCATTACAAGGTAATGGCACAATGAACTTTGGCAAGCCAATGCGTGAGAATATGCAGGAATGTGCGAGAAAAAAACATGAAACGCATATTGCCAAATTTGCAACATGTACTATTTTTCCGCGTTTGGTGTCGAGGGACCCAATGGCAATCACTGGGGATGCATGGGAAACAAAGTCCCAGAAACATGCAGGAACACATGTTCCCGATACACCCTGGTGTGAATGGGGCATTAGAGATTTAAATCCTATCTAAACTCAAAAATGTTACCTGAATATATCACAGGTAAGCAGTCATAAGATGAAGTTTTCTTTTTTCAGGCTTTTCTTCTCTTTATTTTCAACTGGTGCTTATGCTATTAACACACCTCCTGTCCTTGGATGACATCACTCACTCATTGTACTGTATTTATAGAGCAGCACTGTCACCCTTCCTGATTTAGACTACAAACATGTCCTCCTCTCTCTATCTACATTACAAGGAGGGCGGGGGAATTTGTAGTTTACAGAAGATGCCTTGGAGGAAGATAACATTGTTTGTGATTTTAGTTCAATTTACAATAAGTTACAAGGGCACTGCAATAACAAAGGCTATTTTCTGTACTTGCTGAAAATGTTCTTATCATATAAAATAAAAACTATTGCTGCCA